AAGTAACTATTCGGTTGAACAGCATCCAAACCTGTTAGAATCTTATAGACCTGGATCATGTCCCCCCTCAGCCTCCTTTGCTTGAGGCTGAACAGATTTAGCTCAACTAACCTTTCCTCTTCTTAATCGTAATGTGTATTTTAGTAACATTTCATTGGAGTAGGCACCTAGTAGTACAGCCTTACTTATTGTATTAATTAATTAATTATGAATTAATTATTGTATTAATTAACTAGAAGCGAAGTGTTACTTGCATATTGATCACATTTTCGTTCATCATTAATCAGTCGTAAAGGTTCAGTTTCTCTATTTGTTCATGATTTGTACTTGAGTAGTTTTTCATTTATTTGTGCCCCCTTGAGTAAAGTGTCGTCCATGTTTTTAATTTTCAAAGTCTAAGTTGTTTTCTCCTGACTAATTAAGCCCCCAACCACCACCTTGTCTTCTAGGAATATGATGACGGCTATGGAACTGCATACGATGACCAGGGTTACGATGCTTATGACAACAACTACAGCAGCCAAGGACAGAAGTAAGTTCTGTTCACAAATCTACATACTTGAAGATTCAATGTATCTCAGTCATGTAGCATTTTCGATTTAATGTTCAATGTAAGTAGTTATTTAATAGCAAATCAGAAGTTTTTTTTTACTATTTTATATACAGTTATGTGTCACATTTTTATAAATTATATGTCCAGCTTTGTGTCAACTTTTGTTCGCATTTGGGACACAAGTGAATCTGGCCGTATCTCGATATTGTAGCTGCCCATCACAAAGGCCTATGCGTTACTGTATACGTGCAGTATTACAGCTTAGATATGGATGGTCATTATACCTCTGGCAGCGCTGCCTATTCTCCTGCACCTGTTACAATAAGTGACACATCCGGTAACGTCCTACTATGTCGCATCCAGGCGTCAACTCGATCCATGTATAATATTTACTACGAACCTCAGACATAACTCGACACAAGACTGTATAGTGCACATACACTCAGAAGCTTTTCCTGAGGTTTGAGAGCTCTATCCTTAATTTGAGGGGTTTTAATTATTAAGACTTTCTTCTAAGATGAAAGGCATGACTTGCATGTTCTTGGTGTTGCTTTAATTAATTGTCAGGTTAGGTATACAATTTCCTTTCAGCGAAATGTGGTACGTATAGACTTTGAGTACTTTCTTATAATTATACTAGGAACAATAGCCATTTTTATGTGAAAACCATTAGGAAGTCGGTGAAATAATTAAGACGTATTCTGAATCATAGTAATTGAACTTCTAATGGAAAAAATAGCATGGGGTATCAGTTGGGGTTGTAATATGAAACATGTGCCTTAATCACAAGTCAGTTGTTTGAATAGAGAACCAAAAGAAAAGGAAATTTAATTGAATCCCTTTTGATAACTATCACATCAACTCAAAGCCAGTTGGTATCTCAAGGAAACAATGGTAACCTTGCCACGCCTGAGCACATAATACCAATTTTTTTTAATAATCTTTCATCATTTTACGAACTTTTCTAATCATTTATAATGAGCGTGCTCACAGATTTAGCTAAGCAGTTCAAACCACAAGATGTGAGGGATAAGTCACTGTAATGTTTGAATGTATGACCATGATGTCTCTGGCTTAAATGGCGTCAGCATCTCAGGTCATGATGCAACCGAAGACCCATTTGAAGCCAAATACAGAATATTGATCTGGTGCAGAGAGCTATCGTCCTCCCCTGGTCACATCAGGTCAAAGGCTACACTTTAGCCTACCGCTGGCTGGCTCTCCGCCTTCGATTTAGCGTGCTTTTGCAATGACCTGGTTTTTGCCTGCACAGCTTCTTTCAGAGCAGGGCTGTGATTGTTACTGCACTTAAGATGTCAAAAAAAAATTGCATTAGCGGCAACTGCACACGCCCAGATGAATGTATTAGCCCATTCTGTCCTCTTTTTTGGAAGTGACGCTTGATGTATTCTTTTGTTGGCGATGTCAGAATCCGGTGGCGGGGGACCTGTGAGGGATTATGTCTCCACGATGGTGCATTGTGTTTCGGCCTATCTGAAAAGCTGCACTCTGCCCGTACACACCAAGGGCTGCCTCCTGCAGTATTGGCTGTTAGATGTGCAAACCATGTCGTGGAGCTCAAGCCCGGAGTGGCTGCCTGTGCTTTAAAAGTAGCATCTCAAATAAGCAGCGGCTTAAGGCGCAAGAAAAGTGTACTCCGTTGTGCATTAGAGATACCCAGAGGCCTTGTAGATTCAAAGAGGTCTCAGATCTGTAGCTGTTATCTGTATCTGGGGACTTTGCAACTAATGGGGAAAGTCTACATGGTTGTTCCTTCAGAGAATGTTTGTGGTTAATTCATGAATTTTGACTTTGATTTTTTGGTTGTTTCTTTTGCTTGTTTTATTTCTGATTGTTCAAACTGTGCTATATATTTAAATACATCAATTATTCTTTGTAGGCAGCATGAGGTTAAACCTCCAGTGATAGTCAATATATGAAGGCAGATTGAACAGATGCATTGATATAGATCTGTGTTTCCCTGGTCCTCTTGGACCCCCCCAGACGGTCCCCGTTTTTGCTCCCTCTCAGCCCATGGTAGGAGAAAAACAGGGACTGTCTAGGGGGTCCCCTGACGGCCAGGTTGAGAAACACTGATACATACTGGAACCATAGTGCTGCCGTAAGCTCTAGCTGCACAGTAACCAAAAAAATTACACCTTGAATGTCATAAAAGAATTAGAACACAACAGAATTAGGACCACCACAAGAGGATCAGAAGACAAGGCTTGTTTGGTCTCCATCAATCCACAGAAGATTAAACCAGGTTCAGCTTTGGCAAAAATCTGATCATTGGGAAACCGTTTGAAAGCAGTACAAAGGATGCATGATTTCTACAGCTCTGCTGTGGATACGAACTTTGAGAGATCATGTTATGGTCATCAATTTAATTCACTTGGTCAAAGAGGGAACTTTTTTTTGTCTCAAGCATCATTTGTCCATCCATGATCCAGGGGAATGTAAGACGATGTCTAACGAAGTCTACGGAAAGCAGAGCGAAACAAACTCCGAGAGTTCCCCGAGAATGACGTGACTCATAGCTTGGGCATAACATGCACAGCAATATGTCATTTCTGGAACATGAAATTACTGTCATGTTGTTTATTTTCCCCTGTTTACATCGTCAGAATCTACAGATCTAGTGGTTCATGGAACCCTTTTCCCTGAGAGCTACGCACGGCGGCAGCACGATGGGCGGCAGAGCTGTCAAGCGGAAAGTAGGCAGGGAAATCTCCCATTTCATTCGTCCATGGAGGCAGGGCCAACCACTGTGGAGCGCAATAACACCCACATAACACCATGACCTTGCCAACTCCTGGCATCATGTTGTTTGCAATGGATGTTTAAGGGGGGAGTTCAAATTCAAGCCCTTTAACAGTGCACATACCTCACAAAATCCATGCTACGTCTATCTCTCCATCTCCGCCTTTGACTGATCAGGTGCCCTATAATGGAGACTCACTGTCAACTCTGCGATCGCTGCCCTATGTGCAATCCAGGCCAGTGGAACCTCCACAGTAGGTGGACGCATTCATGTACGGCAAGAAGCAGCAACGGTCTGTTTAAAAATCGTTAAGGTATATAGCTAAGAGAAAAGAAAGAGTAAATGATGAAGCCTTAATTTTGATATTGGTGGAATTATGTACAGTAATTTCTGACGAAAAAAATGACAGACTGGCTAACGCTTAAAACAAAAATGGAGGAGAATTCCTCCTGATCTCTTACATTGATTCTCAAACCCGGTCCTCAGGAACTCCCAGACAATCCAGGTTTTTGCTCCCTCCCAGGTGTGGACTGTCTGGCAGGGAGCTGTGCAAGCCTGGCCTTATGCATCTGCTAACCTGCGGTGTGGGGGAACCCAATTTATTTTTGTCTAGTTCTTACAGCAGCATTTTGTTCTGTATGTTGGGCCCCAACAATGACTTTAACCCCCCTAAATTCAGCCCTGGTTGGGAGGGAACAAAAACATGGACTGTCTGAGAGTCACTGAGGACCGGGTTTGAGAAAAAAAACTGATTTATTATATATTACTGACATTTTTATGTGGGAAAGTGGTAAGACTCGGAAGATAAATGGAGAAGACGGGAAGTGAATCCTGTTCCTCGTGGGTCCCTGGAAAGGCCACACTCTGGTCAGCGTTCACACTTCTTTGTGATCCAAGTATTATTTCATCCTGACACCTGGGAGACTGCAGGCTTCTGATGTCCGTGTCTCTTTTCTGCAGTTTGCTCCTCATCCGACTCCCAATGTATCTTTAATATGTGTACAGCTGTCTTCTGATGTCGAGTTTTCAAAAGGGCATCCGCCTGAAATGGGCCTGTGTGCTTATCAGAAGAAAACATTTAAGCTCAACACAAAGTGACCTTTCCTCAATAAAAAAAGAACAGATTAAGGAAATAAACAAGCTCATGCTCGGAATTTGGAAATGTGCTATTTTTAAACCATCATTCTCAACAGTTGTGAAAACAGCACTAAAATATTTTCAAATGTCAGTATAATTATCTTTTTACAGAAACTCCTTGAAAATAAAACTTCACCTAATATTCTTGTGGCATCTGTTCATGTTAGGCCTAACAGCCCTAAAACAGGTAGATAGCATGGCCAACAGCTTATTTTAGAAATGTAAAATGCCCTGCGGGAAATAAACTGGAAAAATTAATTAAAAAGTAAAGGTGGGAAGGCTTCCAGATAATTACTGGGATATCTGGTACACATAATATAATACATGTTACATGTCATATAGCATGAGATGTATACATCCAACACAAAGGGGTGCAATTATAAATGCATAAATGATTGAAATTATACCACTTGTCACTCCTGCCCTTAGTTACGGTGTTGTTTAAATAGTCCCTTTATAATTCATGAATTATTTATGTTTAAAGTAGTTTTACTAACCATATATAATGTTTACTTTTATATATATTGTTTACCTCTTATATGCTTTAAAAATATTGAGTTGACTTGGGAAGTTAGTAATGTAATAGCCTGCAGTGTAAAAATTCATTGATTCTAATTGATATATCGATTGTTAAGACCACAATACTTTATACAATACTAATAATTTAACTGACTCAATAAACAAATATCGATTCATATCATTATACCATGATGATTTGCCAAAATGGTGCCAAAAAAATCTGTGCAAAAATCTCTCACAGAAAGCAATCTAGAGACTCACCTTAGTAAAGAGTAGAGACCAAAACGTTACGGTACATTTAATGCAGTTTAGCACACCTTGTTCCTACACTTTTAGAAAGAAAGCTATGCATATCCAGAAATAGATTTTTTGTTGTTAAATTATAAATACAAGACAAAGTGTTTCTTGTACAGACATTTTTTTGCATATGAGACATTTATGGCTGTTTTTTTTAACATATTCTCTTGTCAAAATAAAAAATCAAACATTTATTTTAAAGTATTTTGAATTCAAATAAACTCCACTAAAATTAGCTGAAGTTTCACTTTATAGAAAATATTGATCATGTATTACTGAGTCAAATTGAATTGTATCGTATAGCAGTAACATTTCAAATATCGTCAGATATCAAATCTCTGCCTTATAAAATCGAAATCGAATCATATCATGGCATACACCACTAGTCTGTGGTAAGAACATAAATTCTGGCTTTGCCGTGTACTGGATTAATCAGCATCCTTATGATATGCCTTCAGTATAATCCAAATACTGCAACAAATACTGCAAGTGCTGTCAAAATGCATTTTTTTTTATTCCCACATGCGTTTGTACAGTGAAAATGGGACATTTTGGAAAGCTGCATATATTTTCCAAGTTGTGCTCATCTACCCTCTTTCTAGCATCCCAGTTCGAATAAAGTGCACCATTCATCTTGGAATCAAAGCGGCTTCAGAAGGGACAGTCACAGAAGAAGGGCAATATATATATATATATATATATATATATATATATATATATATATAGACACACACACAGTCAAACCTCGGATTGCGAGTAACTTGGTTTGCGAGTGTTTTGCAAGATGAGCAAAATTTTTAAATAAATTTTAACTTGATAAACGAGCGAGGTCTTGCAATACGTGTATTATGTATACACGTTGTCTGCCGAGCGTCACGTGATCACAGCTGAGCCGTTGGTTCTTCTCTCTCTCTCTCTCTCACTGTGGGATTGTGGGTAATCATCTCCCATGCTCGGTCTCAGTCAGTGTCCCTCACCCATATCATCAAAATTTAGTAGAAAAACACCACGCGAATAAGGGCGTAGCAGTGCAAGCGATGAATCTGTTTAACGACAATGCGATGTCACGTTTTCGCAAAATCAAAAAGGAGGCAAAAGCAGCTGTCATTGGATAGGTTCCTTGTTAAAGTCGAGAGTTTCATTATTTCTAATGGGAAAATTCGCTTTGATATACGAGTGCTTTGGATTATGAGCACGTTTCCGGAACAAATTATGCTCGCAATCCGAGGTTTTACTGTGTGTGTGTGTGTATATATATACATATATATATATATATATATATATATATATATATATATACACACACACACACACAACTATATGTCGTCCTTTCTCAGGGAGTCCATTGTTGCAACCTGCAATTCAATTTTTTATTTTTTTTTGTCTGGGCATTTACATGACGGGGAACAATAAAACAATTTACAAAATTTACCAGGGCCCGAAGTTGGAATTGATGTGCGAATTGTTGAAAGTTGAGGCCAACAATACCGTTTGTCTCTGCAGCCTTCTTCTTCTCCTCATTTCTGAGGATATACCACTAAGGGATTGAGGAGCCACAGTAATATAAGAAAACACTGTCCGCCAGGGATGTGTAGCGCATCATTCAGACTTAACATTGCCATCTGTTTAACGGCACTGGGATAACGACGCGCATACTTAAAATCAGCCATTCATGGTTATGACAGATGTTGCGGAGACCTGCCAATCCTTGGGATGTGGGATCGGAATTCAACTCCAGATCGCGAGGCAAGGTTACCAATAGTGCTTATGTTTATTTTTCAAGGTCCAGGCCGACTGTTAAGGCAGATGATTATCCTCTTTGTCTTCACCAGCCGTGAGGCGAGGGAGGCACCGGACTGGGACATGTCTGGCTAATGAATGTCAAATCAAAGCTTGACCTATTTAGAAAGTCAGAGCGGTTTGGCAATTATGTCAGGGCCGCTCTTCTAATGGGATTTAAAACACGCCCAGCCGTCTAATGGACCGCTGGAGCACAAGGGCAGTGCTCCTATTGTTTGGTGCATGCACTGTAGCTGTAGATAACACTGATATCCATTGCACAGAGGAGTCTCTTTTATTATTTCCTCATAAATGATGAAAAAGCTATTACTTGCAATGTTTAAATATGACTGGCTGATGCATATTTAAAGCGTCTATTTTTAGAAAGCTGGAATTTTTAAAAGGTGTGAGCAGGCTTTGCCTTTGAAGTCAGCAGTAAAAATACAGAGTGTAATCATCAATTCTTCCTCATCATTAGCCATTGAATGTACTGCTGGAAGATCTCCTATGGGTCCTTTCACGGGTAGGTCCTGCGCTTGCATTGGTGGTCATCTGTGTTTCTTTGGCTAGTTAGCAGTAATTAGGACGGCAGTAGATCTGTTTGAGCGGGGAGCTCGTTTGCAGTTGGTCTCACCTGGAATCTCGTCCTCCTGGACGCTCCCAAGAAGCCTCTGACAAGGGTAATTGAGTAGAAAAGGACACAGGGTGAGGAGCTGAACAGGAATATTGACAAAGTGCCACGGTAGAAATTAGAAGTTTCTAACAGCATTTGGAGGTCTCTCATCCACTTGGATACATGGATTTATCAGCTCTCAAAGGTCCTGATCTCTACTTTATCGTCGGTCATTTGTTTTCGTCCTGGTTGCTAGCTCTGGGAACATTTTCCATAGCATGGTTCAAAAGTGAGGACATCTGGAATGTGGGCTTTTCAGTTCACTAATACAAGGTCAAGGAAATTCAAATAAAAAATTCCATATTGCCATTCCAATTTTCACAAGTGCTTCTCCAGCGTAATGGTGCAGCAACACAGTTTGTCCCAGGAGGGATAAGGCACAGGGCACGAAGCAGCATTTATGTCCTTTTTGATATTCATATAGTTACCAAAAAAGACTGCAGTGCTTCATCATATGTGACGGATATTTATATTTGAGCTTCCATCAGCTACATTGTTCTCCCAATACTGACAGTGAAAACTGGTCAGTTGAGGATAGATACTTCAATCTGGAATAACACAGGTATATGAAACAGGAGTAGTATAAGATATGGTAGAAAGCAGAGAAAAACAAGAAGAACACAACCTTCAACTTGTTCAAGTTCCTTTTCATATCACAAATAAACTGAAAGAATATCATTTTTGACACAACAGGCATTTAAGGAAAAATCAAATTGAATGAACTATGCTGATAGTAGCATGTCAAGTAATGGGAGACACGATGCTCTATTTAAAAAATAACAGCCGAGTGCTGGTCGCCGAACTGAGAATTCCGTTGCTATCTCCTCTGGAAATGGAAGCGGTCAGTCGGTGAGGCACATGCCCTGCTAGTTGCCGGCGCTCTGTGGGTTGCCCTGGAACTAAATTAGCAGCAAGCCTTTAAATGTGTTTTCTGCCAGCCTTAAAAGCCGGGAGAGGGAAAACACAGCGCTGTCGCAAGGAAGACTGACAGGTACAGGAAGCGGGGGCTCAGCTGTGATCGGCTGTGCGGGATTGATGACAGCCTTACAATAAATTACCACTCGGGCTTGAATGATAGCAGTAATGCTGAATGATGCCAGGGTAGAATTGTTTTTTCGGCATGCGACTAGCGACCCAGGCCAAAATGCTGAATAGCCTCCTTTATTTTTGATGAGGACTGGAATCACTCATATCTCCATATGTGGAATAGTGAGATAGAGATGCAATATTGTGGAATTATAGGAAAATATAACTTATATAGGAAGTGTCCAGCGGGAAGCCAGGGGAACCTCTATTCACACTAGCATGTTTCTGCAGTGAAAGTGGACCTTAAGTGTTGGCCCCATAGTTGCTGTAGTGTTCATTCACGGCAATACAGCATCATGGTTGACCTCCCCATCTTAAATGCAAGCCATTCAGCAATTGTTACTGTTTTTTGTTTTTTATTCATATATTTTTTGTTTGTTCGTTCATATTTGATTTTGCCCGCTTAGCTATTCACTGTCACCAAGTAATAAAATACTAGCTACAGAACATTATTTGGTAATCAGGATATTTTTTAAAAAATCATGTAAAATCCTGTGCCGATCAATCTGCCAGAGAACCCCCCCCCACCCCACCCCCATTATATATGACGTACTGTAAACCAGTCCACAGACATCAAAAGGTTCAGAAGCCCTAATGTACATGTCATCAAATATCCAACTATAAAATTATAATTATGGGAAATGGAATGCTACCTCATAATCCCACCCTATTACGCAACTTTGAATTTCTTTTTTTGTGTAATAATTGGCATTTTCTTTATAACTTCCTGTTACTGCTGTAAGTTGTCAATTGTAACAGTTAGGATATGTCGCATATAATGACATAGTACCTAATACTCATTGCTGATGCATTTCACAGGTTACAGTGTAGCCATGGCAGCACTGAGACTGGAGATGCACGTCTGTCATCGAGCATACATTCCTATAATTAATGCATTCATTAATGCATTCATAATTATGGATACTAATTTATTGCACATACATTAAATTTGGCTTCATCGTGGATATTGAGAATATTAAAAAAGGCATCCTTTCATCTCTCCACAGCTCAGAAGAGTATTATGAGTATGGCCACGGCATAAGCGACGAATCCTATGATTCATATGGTGAGTTCAATGTACATTTTCATGAAATAATGCTGTAACTCATTTCATGTTTAATGCACATTTGCAGCTCATTAATTCAGCAGTGCTTCTATTAACACCGTCATCACAGAGCCCACGCTACATTTTACTGTAATATTTTGCAAGGAGTGGTGCCTTTATTCTAAGTGCATCAAAGACTGCAGGGCTGTTTCGCTTTGTATTTATTTTAATGATGCAGCCACTCACCTTGTCTGAAGATAAGATTGTCGATACAGCCTTTAGAGCAGTTTCAATCTACTTCTGCTCTTGCTCCTTTAGGGATGGTCTTTGTTCACTTGACAGACCAATCCGTTCGGGCTTCTTCATTTTCTTCATTTTCCCTGGAGCCCACGGCTAACGTGCTTGGCTCAGCGCGTCAGGCTGCTTTGCACAGTTTGTGGCTGCACTTACAGTAAAGCCACACTAAGTGGTATCTGCCATGATGCTCACGGTTCCTTGTTTTATGGACACGTCTCTGCTCAGGGCATATGACAACAGTGTGGAGCCGTCTGTAGCAGTTCTGTGCTAGTGCATGCCGCATATTAGCAGGGCACATATGTGCTAATCTAAGGAAATGAAGTGAAGCTAATGAGCTAGTCTAGTTGGGTTCTAAGAAACAATTACATAAACTCTAGAAATTATGAGCTTTTAACAATCAGTATAGACTGTAGTGGTCCTCTTGTATATGTAATTATTGGATATGGGTTGCTGGGGGACTTTTATATGTTTTGAGAAAGACGGTGAGAAGTAAGACGTTTAAAATGTTGACAATTTCTGAGAGTCGAGTGTTTGTTCATTCATGTGGCATTAAACAGAAAATGACATGCAATTAAGCTCTGCTATCGTCTCTTGACTTCATCACACCCGGAATGTTGCAGAAGTGCAGGATTAGAAAGTACTCATTTTGAAAAGTCGGCCTAGTTCAGTTAATTCAAAATACATGTCAAATGTCCTAGTGTTAGAAATTCATTTTACCATTTTTCCACTGAAGAATAGAAAAAAACCCCAATAAAACAGGAACTTAAATGAAATAAATATTTATATTAGCACGTTGTCATCAGTACAAGCACAGCTGTAGGGGTCATCAGTTGCCCATTGGCCCTTAATACTGTGGTCTGTTTATTCCATTGGGTGCTGAACAGTCGTCTGGCATCTACTCTATGGAATTTTCAGCCATAACATGAGATTGCCCTTGACCTGAAAATTATCTCAACATGTGCACACTTTAGAAAGGTGAACACGTCAAACAAACAGTTGGCGAATCATTGTTCAACAGGGGCTGGGGGATAGAGTAGGCTCGTTAATGGGGAAGGAGAATTTAAAACATAGCACGCCTAATAGGGAGACACAGTGAGTGATAAGCTGTCTCCTATTTATGTTTCTGTCTTTGAATCTGTATATGGTTTCAGAAAAGGCAAACCTTATTCACTATATAAGCATGATATGAAGGCTTGAGACATGTGATTGACTGGAGTCCTGTTCACGGGGTCCCAGACCCTACCACAACCTGATTTGGTGTGCCCCTGGGTCAACAAGGGATGGGGTTGCATTTGACCTTTTTAACCAATCACAGTCTTCTTTGTATGACATCACCACTTTGGTCTGTTTTATTTCTCATTTTCAAACTCAAGGCTTCCAGGCTCTGGGGGGGCGCATGTGTCTCAGCAGGCTACATGTGTGTGTGTCTGTGATTGGAAGGTTGCTGGTCAAGCCTTGTTATTATTATTATACTTAAAGAAAGACAAGCCTTTACATTGTGAGCATGTTCCTATTTTTTGTATCTTTACAAAAGGCATACACAATAAAATAGGTATTTTACAAATCCACGCACCTTGCCACTAAACAAAGAACACAGGTTTTAGTTAATGTGGTGATGTCATACAATGAAGACTGTCATTGATTAACGAAGTGTCATATTCTAGAAAATCAGGACATGCCTGGACCCTAACCAGGAATAGCAGTTAGGGGATGGATTACAACAGTCATGCGTATCATTATTACTGATATCTTAAAATATAGAGAGCCTATCATTTTCATAAAGGCTGTATTAGACTTCACAGCACATATTTTTCCTTCCAGAGAGAAGTCAGTTTTGGGCAGTGCATGAGTAGTCATGAAACTGTCTTGGTTCCTTTACACTTTATTCAGCTGCTTATTTCGTCAATCTTTCTTAAGACTCGCCTTTAGTGATAAATGGCTGAATTAAGTTTCCCTGTCCCTACTACTCATTGAGATGGCATGTGCTAAAAGACATTTGCTTCAGTATTTGGCACACTCTCTATTATGAAAGAGACAAACCAAATATTTCTTCTTTGTTTCATGTTTGTAGCTAAGTCTCACCATGGGAAGTCATTAGCATTAAAATAGCATCAATAAAATATGTCAGATAGCTTGAAATCTTATTGAAGTGTGATCTCCAAAGCCACTGTACAAACGAATGTCTTGTTTCTTGTTTTATTTTCGTTTTTGCCTGCCACCCCAGGAAACCTCTGCGCTTTTCTCGCAACTTTGTAGCTAATTATTTATGGAATGATCCACACCAGCACAAGCAGCTAGCAGTCTTCCAGGAAAATGCTTCATGACAAAAACTTGAAAGCCAGTTGCTGCTTTCTTATTTCACTTTCTAAGTTTGTCGCTGAATAAATAGGGCGCTTCATTTTTTGAAGTGACAAGCCTGCACTGATGTTCTATGGTAAGGGAGGTCTAACCCCAGGGAGCATCAGAACAGGTGCCTCTAATTTATCCTTTCGCTTTAATGCATTGAGCTTCCGCGTTGCCATTATCAGAGTGCGCTGTAGGAAACAGGGTAGTTTGCAGCAACAAAATGCTGCATTGATAAATAATCATAATTAGTATAAACTAAACAGCTGCTCAAACTGCATAAAAAGTTATGCTTTTCCTCATAGGAACTAATACCGAGAGCTGTATTAGCCTAGGTAGCTGTAAGCAGAAATGGAGAACGGAACCGAAGTGATTGTTACACGAAAGCTGTGAGAAGGTTAGCATTACCAGAAACTAGAAGTAATTTAGCACCAGCTTTTTTCAAACATCTTGCACCAAGTGTGTGTACATTCTTGTTGTCGACATTGAATGGGAGGATGAGGACTGGTTTGCAAATGGACAGTGGAACATCTCCTTCCCTCAAGTCAACACTTGTGTTAGTAGTTCAAAAGAGCCCTGTGGTGTACAGGCAGTTCCCAGGCTAAGAACGCCTTAAAGACAACTTAAAGACACCCCACTTTGTGATACTCATGAAACCATTGTGCAGCTTCAATGGTTCATCAGCTTGAGGATATATACTATATATTAAGGCAAAGATTTGACTAACCTACAAATTTCACTGAAAGACAAACATAGAGAACAGAACTCATTCGTAACCCCGGAGCTGCCTGTAGAAGTTGATGTATAGTCCTGCATGAAAAGACAAGGTTATCTTGTTCAAATCTGCTATTCAAGTGACATTAAGTGAAAGGGTGACAGCCTTAATTAAAAACTATTGGTTATGGGCTTGCAACAAAAAAGCCTGTCTAGAAACAATAAAAGATATACTACTACTCAAACAGCCAGATGCAAGTTCCTGCTCCGGGGATGTATCTTGGTTGGCTGAAGATCAGACAAAGGAAACAATCAATGCAGGCACTTGCACATTGACAGTGATGGGCTTGAATGAATGCTGATTTTGGTTAATGGTGATTGTGACCTTTTCGCTGGGAGACACTAAACAGACTCTTTTCAAGTACCCTTTGATGTTCTTTTTCAATTAAATAAATAAACCTTTCCAGGTGGAAGACGGATAGTGCAGCTTGGTTGGAGTTTTTGATCTTGAACTAGTGATAATTGGTTTTGTGCTAATGTCATTCGAAATCCAAACAAATTATCAACGTGGCAAACTTAGAAGGAGTGCTTCAAAGGTGCCATGAGCTCTTGATGCAGTGCTCTCTCAGCTAGAAACCAAACAAAAGAACAATGCATTCTCCCATAGCCCCTCCATTCTTCTTCCACCAGGACAAGAGGAATGGACCAGCAGCAGACACAAAGCCATACCATCCAGAACTTCCAAGGGAGCATACAGGGACCAGCCGTACCCCAGATACTGAACTGCTACATCACAACATGTCCTGTGTTGTTCCAAATGATGGATTTTCTATCGAGGACACCCTTTCCTCCTTTTGGAATAAAATGAACAAAAACAAAGAAAAGAAAAAAAACTAACAGAGGTGGAAAAAGGAGATGGTGAAAAGACCATTATATAGTTGTAATGCCTGTTTAAAATGCTGTGGACACTATAACAGAGACCAATAACATACAGTATGTAATGACAGCTTCTTCTGGAAAACACAACTGTAAAATAGGTAAACTATCCATTCTTTATAAATTAGAATTTGAAGCCACTGAGCTTGTTATGTTAAATAGAAGGTTTTATTTCTTTAACATGTTAGTTGCTTTGTTTAATAGTTTATTTCTATTTATAATAGAGGGTTGGGGTAGCATAAGTAGTGTTTTGACTGGTATCAGCAATGTTCCTTGTAAATCTACCTTTGAACAACAAAGACAGGAGATCATGTTGCAAATATTGTTGTATTGTTCCTTTTTGTAACTGAGAGTATTTTAGTGTTAAAGGGCTTATAGAAGCATGTTGTGAAATCTTGTAGGATCCTTTTTTTTCTTCTTACGTACTCGTCTGGCCCGATCTGACATACCCGACATTGTATTTAATCGCAGCAGTGTTTCTTTTCATTTCATAAGCATTTCCTTAATAATCGAACCTCATCGTTTCTGACAGTAATACATGCTTCTAAAAGCATTGAGATGCTTGTTGAATATGATGGATATATTGATCATGTGTTCTCATTACCTCCAGAGACTAAAAGAATTCTCGTAACGAAAAGCCAATTTACTAAAACTTACCAAAACTTCAATACAGGACACTACAACTCTGTTTAAAGGAAATTAATAGAAAAAGACATATAATAATAATAATAATTAATAATAATAATTATTATTATAATAATATGAATAATATTAATAAGACAATAATGCAAATGTTTACATTGGGATATAAAAATAACCACAGTAATAAAGATAAGCCGGTGGCATTCTTTAAAGGGAGGTTTGTATTATTAAAATAATGAGCTTTTGTAAGCCCTTTAATTAATATTTTCATCTTGGTTGATAATAAATAAACTTTTTGAAAAAAAAATCCTTGTGTGAGAACGTAGTTGTATTTTTTGTATAAAAACAACATTAACAAACAGCTGAAAATATAATATCAGGCAGTTTTAACATCTGCAATTCCTATCTAGGCCAAATTCCAAGTTTAAACCCTTAAAATATAAATTTCATGGTGACGGCACAAAACTTTTTGTTAAAATAATAAAAAAAAAAAAATTGAAGTTAAAAATAACATTCTATCAACTTGAACCTGTCAAGCTTCTGATATGTATTACATAGATGTGAATGATTCAAGACACCCTGTCTAATTTACGTCAGCAGTTCCAATGGTAATAGTGTTCAAGAGATATTTTTAAGTGTGTAGCTGACAGGCCTCTGTGCTACAGTATACCTATAAAATTGCCTATACTATCAAATGTACTAAATATCCATAGATTCTTCCTTAATAACTAAATACTGTTACAATTATTAAAATAAAAAAACATGTCAAATATAATTTTCATCATTTATAATGCATTTTATCCAAACAGGTAATTACTAATCCTGTGTGCCTCTATTTTCAAGCAATATCACAATATAGCATTCAGTTTTATCACAATACTTCTCAGAACCCTTTTAATTCTAGTATTAGCCTTTGTATATAATAAGCCAGTTGAATGACTGGAAGGCCTGTTCAGCATATTGTAATTGATTAGCTAATCGGCATAACTGGTACATTTACAAATGTTCCCATCTTTGGCCTCTATCATTAGAGGCTGTTTGGCGACTTACTGAATGTAACGAATTAGATGGAGCATTTGTTTTTAAATTTCTATGTGTGTTCTGTGTGTGTCAGAAAATATATCTGCACAGAATAGAATTCTTAGAACAGTTAAGATTTGGAGTAAAATAAAAGCTTCATTCCGTTTGTAGATCTTTGTAGTATTTTTTTTCTTCACTGTTTCTGTTCTTACTTTTTTTCCTTTTGGTCAAGCAAGACTTTTTCAGTGTCTAAACAGAGTTAAAGAGAATCTAAATGATGTTCACCTTGCCTGAAAGTGGATGGGAGGAGCTAATTTATGCTCTCCAGCTGACAAGGTAAATAAACCAAATGGGCATTTTAATCATACCTAATATACCTTGACCCCCCCCAAAAGGAATAAACAAAAATGGGCATTTTAATCATACCTAATAGTCTAATAACATGCTTAAAAATGTTTTCTTAAACACTGTTAAATGTATGAAGATTTAAAATAGGTAGATAAGTAGTATTATTGCTTATTAGATTTACGCTATTAAAAATAGTGTTGCCATAAAAAATACATGATAAATAACTATAACACTTTAGTATTTTATACACAATAATTTCAAGACATTGATAACATGTTGTCGTTTAAATAAAGTGCCAGCATGCTGTCGTTTTGCAAATTCTGACATTATTTGAATTTTTAATTGTAGGTCAAAGGTTAAACTGTGTTGCCTTTCATTGCAGGATGCCCCAAAAAGACACCAAAAGGCTGAATTTCATTTGAAAGGTGAGTAAATGTCCTTATTAAATGGGCTCGGGAGGGCTGACCTTGATTCTATTACTGTATTTTCATAAAACCAGAATGACGATAATGGAGTTTAAGTGTAAATTCAGTTTATCATTATTGTTAATGCGCCATTTCCAAAGCTGACAGTGATATAGGCAACATTTAGCATGAAATTTACTGAAATGTAACAGGAAGCTCAGAACAGATGCTGTGTATTAAGACAGATACAATCCTGTCAAAGTCACGGTTTGTAATGTCAGCTACATGCCTTGCAATCTGTGGTGAGAGTTGAAAACGGCTGTCCACAAGCAATTTCTGAGCAGCTTCAGAGAACTTGAACAGATTTGCTGACAAGAATGGGCAAACATCACATGAAACCAGTGTCAAAAGCTAGTAGACACTTCCCAAAAAGACTTGAAACTGTAGTTACTGCCAAAGGTGCTTACAAGAAATAATAATGTCAAAGTCTTAATATAGAATATTTCAGATTTATTTAAAAAATATCCCCAGGCTTGGGGGGGCGGCATGGTCACGTGGCTGGTGTGGTCACCTCACACCTCTGGAAGGCAGGGTTTGACTCCCCGCTCCAGCTCCATGTGTGCGGAGTTTGCATGTTCTGCTTCTGTTCCCCTAATGTTCTCCAGCTCCCTGTGTGCGGAGTTTGCATGTTCTGCTTCTGTTCCCCTAATGTTCTCCTCATGGGGCTTCCTCCAGGTTCTCTGCCTTCCCCCACAGTCCAAAACATGCTAAGTTGAATTGGATTTGCCAAATCGTCTGTCTGTGTGTGTGTGTGTGTGTAAGTGGATTAGGTTTATAATGCATTGTGGGGACCAAATGTACCCAGAACGTGATACAAATTCGTTATTTTGACTTTATGGGGACCATTTTCCGGGTCCCCACAAAAATCTGTGAACGCAATCAAAAAACTAAAAATGCCAAAAGTCTTGTATTTAGTTTTGTTATTTATGGTTAAGTTTAGGGCTGGGTAGGGGTTAGGGTCATCATGCTGGGATTAGAGTTTTCCCCATAGAAGTGAATGGAGAGTCCCCACAAAGATACAATGTGTGCGTGTATGTGTGTGTGCCGTACAATGGGTTTGGAGCCCATCATTAACTTTATTGATCCCAGGGGGAAATTCTGGTGCATACAACAGCAAGAACACGGTGCACAGATGAGCATACATACAGTGGCAAACAGGGTCACTCCCTGCCTTGTGTTTGTTTTTTCCAGGATAGGCTCTGGACCCCTGCGACCCAGCACAGGACAAGCATTATGGAAGATGAATGAATTTTGTGATTTAAAACTCATCTATCCTTCTAAGCACATATTCTGGTCAGGGTTGCAGAAGGATGCTGGAACCAATCTTAGGCATGTAAAGCGTTACTTAATGTACTTCATTTTGAGGATTATTACTTTGAATTAAATTTTCACAGGGAGATAAATGTCCAACAATCATTTGTGTTATTCAGTAATAAGCATTGTTTTGCAATGCACTGTTTGCCAATGGCCTTCTGACGCATTCAGGGGGAGCAGACGGGCCCCTGTCATGTGACATGTGTCATGTGGCATGTGTCATGTGACATGTGTCATGTGACATGTGTCATGTGACATGTGTCATGTGACAGGGCATGTGACAGGGCATGTGTCAGCTCTGCTGCCAGCCTCATACTGAGCCCCCCTGGCCTGCTTTGCACCCCCCCTTGCTGTTTTGTGTAGGCACAGGAAATTAAATTACTTGAACTGCTTAATAGCTGACTAGTTTGAACCAATTTAAAATGTAATGAATGAATGTCTATTGGGATTCAGCGTATGATTATTTACTGATAAAACAAAATGTATCAGTTTAATCACATCTGATCTAGTGATTTTAACTGAATGTTTATCTTATAAGCAGGTCTATAATGGTCTATTTTACCTATTAGTAATATGGTTTTATCTATCTTCAGACGCCCTGTGAAGATTCATTTAATTGAAAGTGATCTATAAAAATTAGATTAAATAAATTTTTTTATTATTTTTCTCTTATTTAGGGTGTCTCGACTGTGCACAATGAACGTCAGTTTTTGAGGACATGCCAGTCCCTAATGGCTTTGAAGACATGTCCCAGTATTAAATCACAGTTGATTTTTTTTTTTTAGAGATGACACATTTTCTTCCACAGACCACAGGAAGATGAAAATATTTGTATTGGCCCATTGCTGATTCAGACATTCTAAAAGCGGGATAATGGCTGTCTGGAAATATATGTAAGTGATAAAATAAAGCTGAAAAAAAATGTAAACATTTTTCAGGAAGTGTTTTCTTCAATGAGGGATGTAACTTGAGTAGTTTTTTTCTGTAAAACAAATAAAATATGTAATTTATTTTGTTACATTTAAAATAAAACTGCCTGTTTGCCAACTGAGTGTTTTGTTTGCTTAAAGGAAAAAAAGTTTTTTATATATTGTCTCAAATGTAACACACCCTCTGGAGTAGAGTAAATTGTGCACCACAGAGTGTCACAGGACGATAAATAGCAAGGGAGGGGGAATATGTCCTTCATGAAAAACAGAACTTTGTTGATCTGATCCTGCCATTTGGAGCACCCCAAAACATGAATGGAAGCCCCATATTTTTAATGGCTCCTTAAAGCAAGGAGGGGGGGGGGCAGTATAAGAGAAGACTGATATGATGTCACATTTTTATGTGGAAATTAAATTGAACAAAGTAATGCAAGGAGTATTTGTGGGACCCCAGACTCCCCTACACAAGTATATTGGGTGAATTTCGATGGCATTTATTGATTATCCAAGTAACCCTTATTTAATGTTTTTTCACTCTGAGTCACGAGGATATTTTTGGATATTTTGGTGTCTTTGAATTAATATGATCCTATTTATCAATTCATTGTAATAATATAAAACTTCAAATCAAGTTAAATCAGGCTTCTGAAATGTTCATTAAAGGTCTTAGATAATTACAAATTAATTTGCTCTGTATTAGATCTTGGTTAAAACGGACAAACACACAAATCCTTGGCTTTTTTTTAGGTCAATATCTGAACCTTTTCCAAGATGACATGTGATATAGACTCTGTAACTTTGCAACATAAATATTTTCACCATTGTTGCACAGTAAATCACATCTATAAATGGAGGTGATGGAATGGGTCTAGAGCAGGGGTACTCAATCTTCTGCATATTTCATTCCTGAAATCGTTGAGCAGATTTCATAATAAAAGTCTCTGTCAGAAAAGCAATGCATTGTTTGATTTATAAAATGTTCAATAGGCAAAAGAAGGCATTTCACATCCCAGTTCAGGAGAGATGAGAGCCCCAGGTGTAAAAGATTGATGGAAGATAACATTCATGTTTCCGAAGCCATGCACTGACAGTATATTGCCTATGGATTATATGAATGTCTTCTTCTAAGAGACCGTGCCCCAGCATGGAAAGAACTGTGGATCATATGCATATGGCTTTGTAGTATTTATAAAAAATATCTATGAGCTACAAATCATCTAAACTCTAATGGAAAATTTTCCCAAACCAACACTGAACTGCCTAAATGTATTACTCTTGTAAGCAAGTCATCTCTGCAGGTTGCCAAGTGTTATGAGGTGTTAGCATACAGAAAACCAGTGATTTAATCCAGCACAGTGAAGGTTTGCTCCATAACCCATATGGCAGTCTGCAACTGTTGTTAACCTCTGTATAAGTAGTAGAAAAAGGTGGATGGCAAATGCCAGTTTCGACCTCATTTAGGCGCAATGACCGCAACTAAAATTGCTTATTAATGAAGAAGACATGCAGTAAGTCATTAAACATTTTTCACTTTAGTCACATGTGTGTCACATGATCATTATATGATTGCTGTTTGTTAGTCACCATTATCAACAACTCATATTAATCCTCTGAGTGCCATACCGACCTGGGCATATTTCCATAGAACAGATTAACAATAGAGCACAAAATAGCTCTGCTAAACTATTGTTCTTTATGATAAATCACACTATTTTATATTTATATTACCCATCAACTTAAAGCTTAGATCATAGTGTTTTGGTGGTACAAGGTTACAGCTTACAGAAGATCTGCCAACATCGATCTCTATACTGCTCCGTCAGAAAATGGCTGCTTTCAACAGAATTTAAAACATATAACTTAATACTTTGCCCTCTGTAGAGTCCAACTACTGTGACGTCACATCTTTATAGGACTGCCCACCCGGAGGGCAAAGCAAGGCTCCATTCCAGTGCCCGCCACTTAATTTTGCCACGTTGGTTTAGCCAAAATAATAGCTAGTTGTTTTTCAACAGTATGAACTAGCTGACAAAAAGTTAAGCCTAGGTTATGATTCTGCAGAATGCCATCCAAGAAAGAAAAGAAGAGAACATTGTGGATTTGTGCTGTTAGACTTGCATCCATCCCTGGAGTGGAAATGAAAGAATGTGAACCATCAATGGGCACTTTCACACTGAAGTTCAGGAACCTAGTTCTTGGTCAGTCTCGACCGGAAACATTTGGGAGCTCTTAACCACTTATGTGTCGCTTTCCCACTGCACAACAAGAACGGGGACCTTTATTCTAAGTAAGCATGGGAGACACAAAAGCCGTAGGTTAAACTTCACACATCATTTCGTACAAAGCTTCACTGCCACTCCAAAACCATGGAGACTGAACAAGTCCTTTTGTCGTTAGTTATTTGTTAGTTATCATGGGGATTGATTGAGAACAAATTGTGACACAGCCTTTTATTATTATTTAATTGATTTGACCCGTGACAGGTTTATAATGTTATCAAATCTGGCCAGCAGATCAATCTTTTGTTTTCTACAGAACAAAAAACAACATTATTCTGCTAATAAGTGCTGGCAAATTTCACCACCAGCACTGGTGATATTCGACGAAAGGATATAAGTTATTGAATTTTCTGATGCAGATATACAGTATGGAGA